TTCGATATCTCGAAAACAAAGGCGCGAGTGGATAAATCCTCTTGAGGTTTTTCATACCTCACTGAGGTCTACCTATCGCCAAAAGATGGGACCTAAAGGGCTTAAACACCTAAATATGTTCCCTCGTAAGCTAAGCGTAATTTAGAATAGATTCGGGAATTTTATGCCTGTGAAGGCATTTAATAATGTATTAGGCGTCATTTGCGAAAGACATTGTTTCTTGTCTTCGTTTTCTTTCTGTACTATGAATTTTCAGTGGGCAGTAATGTGTGTGTGTGTGATAATGCTTTATTTAAATTCTCTCAAAGTACTGTTAAGCGAAGTTCGCTTCTAGACAGTCACAAAAAAAAAAACATTTCGAAGAAAAAAAATTCTGGAGAAAAATTATACATAAGAAAATTGAATCATTATATAATAATAAAAGAGAAAATATATAATCCTCCTTTCTCAAGAGTGGAACACATACATAGAAATCAGCAAAAAAACAACAACAACAAACAGAACAGCAAGAAAAAAGGAAAGCAATTCAATTTTGGATAGATAAAGATCGTAGTGACATTACGAATCAAAAACGAGCACATGATCAAATAACGACAAGCGATTTTCATTTATTACATTCAACAGTGTTCTACGCGGTCTACCCCGATCGAAAATCTCGCGTCTTTCATACAACAAAGAGAGATTTGAGACATATTCACGAAGATAGAGAATAGAAAGTTTTTGTTGTATAAAGTCCCAAATAACAGCTGGGTTTGTGGCGAGAATGGTAGAAATCAACTTATTCCAGTGTATTTGGCAGAGAGTTTCTATCGACTTATATCTCGATAAATTTTCAATTTCAACATTCCTAGCATCGCACCATTTATGCATCAAGCGGAATTGTTCACGATTTAGTGCTTCTAATTGGTTTTGCTTATTTGCTGACAAAATTGGAAAAATATTTAATAGTGACTGATAATACGGACGGATATAAGCATTAAAGATTCGATAGCAAACTTCTTCGCTCATCATACGACTGGAAACGAGTCTTTTAAAAGGTGTAGAGTTTTTACGAATTTTATCTTTAGTATAATCAATGAGGTGAGAAAAAGATAATTTCGCATCAAGGATAGTACCAAGATCTTTAAACTTGAAAACATGTAAGATCGTGTCTCCCTGACACTGAATAACAGGAAGAGAAGGATTAACTTGACGATGAAACAAGGTTTAAACAGTTTTTTGAAAATTGATAGGCTGTTTCCACGTTATAGAATAAGTTATAGGACGAGAGAGCACATCAGTAACTTGCTCAGAGAGTTTACGCACTAAACAACTAGACGACCAGTAAACAGACGGAGAAAAAACCACTTTTAAATCATCAGCAAAGAGATGCTTCCAATATAAGTCAGAAATACAGTTTAGCAAATCATAGTGATAAACAATAAAGATTACCGGGCCTATACAACTCCCTTGAGGTACTCCTTTAAACAAGTAAAATAACGTAGATTTCCTTCCTTTGATCTCAATATATGCAGTCCGATTTTTTAAATAAAAACGTAACCATGCTATCAGGTGAAGAGGACAGCCTAAGCGCTGGAGTTTCAGCCATAGTACCTTGTACCATAGCTGATTAAAAGCGGCCTTAAAATCAACAAAAAGGGCTGCTGCCGCTGTGTTTGCTTTTAGACTTTGTCCAATTTGGTCAATTACAGCGACGAGACGAACCGCCATATTGTGACCTGGTCTAAAACCTGTTTGTTCATCCGGGAGAATCCCTGAGTCCTTTACCCACCGACGAAAGTAGACGAGAAAGCATTTTTCGAAAACTTTAGAAAAACACGATAACATAGAAATAGGACGAGTTTCCTCCACAGATACAGTGTTTGTTTTCGTTTTTGACAGTAATATAATTTTCGCTGTATGCCAGTGAGAAGGAACACGCAAATTTGTAACAAACTCGTTATAACATGTTCGAAGAATTTGACGTTGACTCTCGGGTAATAGTTTTATAACACGATTTGAAACACCATCTAACCCACAAGAGTTTATGTTTTTTAAAGAAGAAAGCGAATTTTGTATATCCTTCAGAGAGATAATAAAAGGTGTCAAGGGGCTATTGTCTAAAAGGTAGGAAATCTCTTTATCAACCTCGTTAGCTTCTAATTCGATAGGAGTAGAACAAAAAGGATGTGCGCAAAACTGCTCTACATAGAACTGTCTCGCATAGTCACACATTTCACTAGGATCCGAAATTATCTTCCCATTTGATAAAAAAACCTTGAACAGGAAGAGCACGCCGACCGAAATGACATTTTACTTTACGCCAAAAGGAGGATACGTCATAATCACTTAGCGTTTTACAATACACTTTCCAAGAGTTTCTCTTATAAGCAAACACTTCACGTCGGATTAATTTATTAAAGGTTTGTAGGGCCGTTATAAAATAGGGATGGCGAGTGAAAGGCGAAGATACATTCTTCTCTGTTGTATTAAGGTAATGATGTCCGGCGGGAGTGAAGGCCTATACGAGGTACGAAAATAAACATAAGTAACACGCGAGCTTGCCAAGGAAAGAAAACATTCATACAAACTAAAAAAATAAACTTTATCTGACATAGTTTTACATAGCTCATTCCAAAAGACAGTTGTAAAAGTTAGGAATAATTCATAAACATTCCAATGGGTGCGCTTGATGGGAAAAAAGAGATCTTTAGTAAACAATTTAAACGCAGGGAACCATACTACAGGATAGTGATCACTACCTATAGACGAGAGTACAGAAAAATTAGAAGATAACATTGAACTTGGAGCTATGATCAGATCTATAGTGGCGGTAGAGCGAGTAGAAGTCGGGATAAACTTGTTTACAATTTCAAAGTCAGTATAAGATAATAACCACGCATTTAAAACGCTTCCCTTATGATTGTTTGCACTTAACGACCAAGTTAAATTTTTTGCGTTAAAATCACCTAAGAAGACAGTATGTGAGTGGCAGACTCAATACCATTGTTAGAAAAAATAAATGAGCAAATGACGAAATTTATTGAGCAACAGTTACGTCTGGAAACAAAAATCGAAAATAAATTGTATGAATTGGAGGCCAAAATTGATCAAAACTTTAAAGAAGTGCATCGTGAAGTTCGAGAAGTAACGTCATATGTCCATCACGTTCTGTCTCCACTGGTTCACGAAATCGCTGAATATATTTATGACTCCTTGGACAACCCAAATGAACAAAAAACATTCCTCAATGTTTTTGACAACTTTGTCGAGTTTAGAAAACAATTGATGACAATATCGACTTCATTGTCAAAACCCTCTAAATTGAGTTCAAACGCAAGACGATCATCTATGTCCACTCAACAACGTCTTCAATGAATCCTGAAGCAGAGACATTTGTTCCTAAACAAAAATTAAACTATAACATTCCTATTGGCCACTTAACGATAAAACAGGTAAAAATTTTGACTGAGCTCGTAAACGAGTGGACGGATGCTGGGACATCGGAGTCTCTACTAAAAAGATGGGAAGAACATCAGGAAAGAACTTTCGAACAGTTTACTACAACGAACGATTTTTCTCTTCTTCTTTTAAATGTAGGTAGTAGTCTTAACAAATTTCTCTATGATGTGTTCGAACTGGTGTCTTCTACTAAACCAGCTATAATTGTTTTAAATGGCACTCACCATGACAATTGGTCTACACAACGTTTTTGTGAACATTTCATAAATTTTAATGTTTTTTGGTAAAAAGGCACAAATGAGTTTGGTGGAGTTTTATGTGCGGTCCATCGTTCTATTTAATGTACGCGTGTGCAAGATTTTTTAAATGTTCCTAATCTGATTGTTTTGGAAATTGGTTGTCCTTCTCAGAAATTTCAACTTGCTACGTGTTATTCTCCACCTGTGACCAAAACTTTTCTTCAAAGTTTATTTATTCTTGAATAATACGCAGTACAACGCATGCAGATAAAACCAAACATAAAAACACCAAATAAAAACGAGGACCACTTTGTCCTTCTTCTTTCTTATTTTCTTCCTTTGTTCCTCCTTCTCCATAACACACCACATATATATACCCATTTCTAATGTGTGGGTGTAGGAAGTGACGTAAGAACTGATAACTGAATAGGAGAAATGAATAGGAGAAATATGATGTCGTTCTCTGACGGATGACGTAACCAGTGATGCGATATATGATTATGAGGAGTATGCTGTAGAATCGTTCTCTTACGGGTAACATCATCGGTGATGAGGTAAATGAATATGATAGAAGAGAATGAGAAGGAGGAAGGGGCGGAAGGAGTATGACGTAGAATCGTTTTCTAACGGATGACGTAAGCTGTGATGAGATAAATGAATATGAGAGAAGAGGATGAGGAGGATAGAATTCTTGAGGAGAATAGCGGACAACCGTTACACCCTCCCCTCAAGAAGGAAGTGCTCCTTCACGACTAAGCGATATTTGTGGTATATCATCAAACGTAATAGATGTTGGAAAAAAATTGAAGCTATGCGTAGAACCAAACTCTGGCTAGATGAACGGTAAATAGAACGACAGAGAGACATGTAAGTCCCTGAAAACATGCAATAAAACTCAGCGAGACAATAATAAAAAGAGAAAAAAAAGAAAAAAACAACCGGCATGCAACGGACGATAACTAAACACATAAAGGAGGATATGCAGATAAGTGCGAAAATTACAAAAAAACAAAGAACGACAAAAAGCAATTAAGTTACGCACCATGATCCGTCGTGGGTGGTAGCCTTGACTATATAGTGGGAACCATGGAGTGATAGCCATTAACGGGACTCGAATATCCATTAAACGCGGGACCCGTGATTGTGATGCAGCAGAAGTTGAAACAGTGGTAGCTGTTGGTAGAGCGCCAGGATCGGGTGTCGTCGGTTTGCCGGCTGCAGTCGGAGTCGATAGTGTACTAGTTAATACCGTAGAAGCTAATGCTGTTAAGAGGGCCGTAGTTGGTGCAGATGGTGCAGCAGGAGCATCAAGTAGTGGTAGTGCGTCGTCCAAGGGGAAAAGTTCGAGTTCTATTGACATTGTAATAAAATGTAATGCGGTGATGAGGATTGTGTTTTTGGTAGCGTATATATATGTATGAGATTCGGAGTGTATATGAATGAACGGGAAACGGACAGTTGCTCGCGAGGACATTTGCTCGCGGACAGTTGCTCGTATGACAAGTTGCTCGCATGGACTGATGCTCGCTAGGACTAATGCTCGCCCGGACAGATCCTCGTCGGACACTTGCTCACCGAATACTTTAAGTAGGAACAATAACGTAGTTTACGAAATGTATTCAAACTAATTAAAGTATCTGTTAAATGGGAACCTTAGAATCGTTTATAAAATGGGTTCAAACTAATTATTATTTCTTATATTGAATAATTTTTGTACACTTGATGACT